AAAAAAAAAAAAAAAAAAAAAAATTACTGTCTGTCCACTAGTTTCCTCAGGCTAACCCAATCTCAAATCAAAGCCCAGGCTCCACAGATCGCAAAGGAAGAAGCAACATGAGGATATCATAGACATATACAGTAACCCATCTGAGGTAACTACACTTTTAGAATCAGGCAGGTCTGGACCTAGTGACAAAGCTTCAACTGAGAATTCAGAGTTCTCCATCTACCCTGAAATAGAATAGTCACGATGGAATACCAGCAGACTGAGGGGACTGGAAACCCCACACTCAGAGAGCCTAGGGAAGAGGCCACCAAAACCACAACCTCCAACCTCCATATCAGTGTTCCCACTCTACACAACTCATTGAACACTGCCTGAGCAGCTCTCACTGTACCCAAGGCTGAATGTACAGATAACGTTAACTCTCCTCCCAGAGCTCATAAGGAGTTGGGCAAGAGAAACATATAGAGGACTGGAACATAGGTCACGTTGAAGTGTCTGGGAGTCATAATCAGAGGAAGCTGAGTGTGTCACATACTTATTACACCAGCCCTTGGGAGGCAGAATCAGCCGGGCGGAGGTGGCGCACATCTTTAATCCCAGCACTTGGGAGGCAGAGGCAGGCGGATCTCTGAGTTCGAGAGTTCGAGGCTAACCTGGTCTACAGAGTGAGTTCCAGGACAGCCAGGGCTACACAGAGAAACCCTGTCTCGAAAAACCAACCCCCCCCCCAAAAAAAGGGAGGCAGGCAGAATCAAGAAGGTAAAGCTGACTGGTGATACACATCTTTAATCCCAGCACTCAGGACACAGAAGCAGGTAGATTCCAAAGCCAGTACAGTCCACATATCAAGTTCCTGGCTTGATATGGGCTAGCCAGTTAAGAAATAAGAGAGGAGGAGAGGAGAAGAGAAGGGAGGGGAGGGTTGGGTTTCAAAGCCAGCCTGAGTTTCAAAATAGGAAGAGGAAATTGTCCTTTCCTAGTCCCCTTAAGAAGCCAAGAAAAAACTGAAAGTAGTAAAGCCCTCTGAATATGGCTAGAACATGAGGTGAAGGCTTGCAGATTTTAATTTAGTCAAATACATAACAATAAAGCAAAGGTCAAGGAGACCTGTACACTAAACATTAACAGGATAACTAAGATAATGGGCTTTCCTGAGGTATGGATTTCATATATCAATCTATTAAGTCACTTCGTGAAGGTATTTTTGAAATTTCTGTTTACTGTCCCAGTTTTACAGCTGTGGCACTGAATTCCAAACACAGAGCCAGATTACACATTTTATATTTATATTCATACCCCACACCCTCTTAATTCGAGAATAAAATGCTATGCTAACTAGATGAGCAAAAAGCTACACTAGAACAGAAGAGCATAAGAGCCCTGACTGAAACAAAAATGGTGTTCTTCTACAGAACAGGCAAGCCAGAGGTTATCAGAGCCGGTCCCGCCCACTCAGGCCACCCTCACTCTAGGCAGGAAGATAGATAAAGCTCTAAGAACATCATCTTTGCAAAGTAACTTTGGGCGGCACAGCATTAACAAATGAAAAGAATTCCCTTTAACGAAGATATGAATTCTGATAACATGTTCATAGAAATAGGAAACAAGACCAGGAAACTTCTCCACAGAGCAACAGATGTATTACAATCAAGATAATTAACCTGCTACAGGGCAGCAAACCCACCTACACTAAGAGTCCATTCACAGCCCAACACCTGCCACTTAACAAACGGTGACAGAGCCTTACTGAGTAACTGCAAAACATCTGGACCCCGCCTAAAGAGCAGCACGTCCAGACGTCTGTCCACCCGGCCCTGTCAACAGTAATGCGATAGCTTCTTTGTAAAGACTGCACTCAAGCTCCTCAGCGGGAGGAGCTGAAAAGCCTGTTTGGAGTAAAATTTCAAAACACTTCGCAAAACAGCTCTCCACTGGCTTCCCGGTAAGTGAGAAGTGAAGAACAGCAGCCTCGGGGCTCACCATTTTCAATGGGCTGATTGGGAGGCACGCATTAACAGCCTGACAAGACTCTCAACAGGGTAATGCCAGGCTCTACTGTGCACCCAGTTCCAGTCGAACAGGGAATCTTTGTAGAAAAGGCTCCAGTTGAGGGAGAGTTGACACCCACCCATTCGGCGCCTAAAAGGCCTTTCAAGGGTTGGGGAAAACTGCGCGAATTCGGGTACAAGGCTCACCCTCTCCCCTCTCTCGCAACCCTCGCCCTTTCAAAAGTCAGGCGCACTCTGGCAGTGCCCTGGGCGCGCAGCACGAAGCCATCACGCCGCCACCAGCTGCCCACCTTCACGTGGTTCTCCACCGCCGTGTGGCTAGCCAGCTTCTTAGCCTCCTCGGCCTTGGACATCGTGAAGGGGGCCGGGCCGCCAGCGCTCGAGCCTCCCTTGTCGCCGCGGGTCTCCGACTGTGCACGCCCCGGCAACTGCACGTGGGAGCCCGAGAGGCCCCAGTTGTTCCCGCCCCCGCCCGAGGCCGCGCCCCCGGCCCGCCCGGGCAGTGGGGCCAGGACCCGCCCGTAGAGGGTGCTGAAGGGCCCGGGGCGCTGCATCCCGCCGCCTCGCTCCAGCCTCTGCGGCCGCCCCACCCCCAACTCCTCCGGAAACCGGCTCGCTTGCGCAACCTGGCCCGCGCGTATTGCTATATGTGTGTTGCTGGGAAATGTAGTCCTGCGGCGACAGTGGCCTCAGGCCCGGCAGCAATCGGGACTACAAGTCCCACAATGCCATCGACCTACTGTGCAAATCGCCCGCCTTCACACCAGCCTCTCTGTCCGGAAGGTCCGGGTAACTGCTGTCTAGGAAGCTAATAACTCTCTACCATGGGGTCAAGTGTTGACACCTTTAGGTGAACTCCAAGAACCTTTCTGGCTGTACGCGTATTCTAAAAAGAGAAAGAGAGAGACCTATTAAAAACCTGACCGTGTTTGCCCAGCAACACGGGCAAACACATTGCGGTTTTATAGGTGAATTCTCAAGTGGTTCTATCAACACAATGGCCTTTTTAAAAATATCTTTTAATTACATTTTACTTGGTTTTTTTTTTTTGGGGGGTTTTTCGAGACAGGGTTTCTCTGTGTAGCCCTGGCTGTCTTGGAACTCACTCTGTAGACCAGGCTAGCCTCGAACTCTCGAACTCAGAGATCCTGCCTGCCTCTGCCTCCCAAGTGCTGGGATTAAAGATGTGCGCCACCACCGCCCTGCTCATTTTACTATTTTTTAAGTTGTGCTTGTGTGCATGAGTGCGTGATTATGGAGGCCAGAGAACAACTTGCAGAAGTCCATTATCTGACCATCTTGGTAGTATCAGTCACTACTTTACCAGCAAAGCCATCTCGTGTCACAGCCTTCTTACAGTGCTCTAGATTCATTCCATAATATACATTTGGGACTCCCAGGTCTTCTAAGGTCTGTGCTAGACCTTCATAAACTCAAGATTACAAGTTCAGTCCGTAGCTCCCGCCTGGGACATTGTTCTGCTCTTGGTATTGGATGCAGGGTGTCTAAATAGAGCCCAGCTATGCACACACAGGCCAGTATGCCTTATTGGACTTCCTTCTCTGCCTTTAGTTTGCTGCTATGTAAGGGGTGAGGAATTCTTATCACCACCTTTTACAAGCAGAAACTAGTGCTGACCAAACCTTACTGAACACCTGGAAGTTCTTGGTCTCATTCAGCAGCCTCATTGACCTGAACTCACTGTTGAGTTCTGTCCAGGATGGCCTGGAACTTGAAGCATTTTTTCTGATATGGGGTTATACCATCAGATAGGACTGGAAGTCCTTTTTGTTGGTTTTGAGTGTTTCAAGACAGGATCTCTCTTTGTAACCCTAGCTGTCCTGGAACTCTGTGGACCAGGATGGCCTTGAACTCACAGAGATCAGCCTGCCTTTACTTTCCCAGTGCAGGGCATGTGACTACAAACCCCCAAGAGCTAGAATCTTCCAAGAACCCCTAGGAACAATAAATCTCATACATTTATGCAACTTTTGTAACCTGAGTTTTATCTTTATCAGACTGTAATCCTGCCCAAGGCACTCAGGAGCCACTTGATAGTCTCCTTACCAAAAAAGGAGAAGAAAGTTCTTCAGCCACCATTACAAATGTAACTTCCATGCCAGGCGGTGGTGGCACACTTGGGAGGCAGAGGCAGGCGGATTTCTGAGTTCGAGGCCAGCCTGGTCTACAGAGTGAGTTCCAGAACAGCCAGGGCTATACAGAGAAACCCTGTCTCGAAAAACAAAAACAAAAAACAAAAACAAATGTAACTTCCAAAATAGGGTGTACCACTCATTGTCTGGACTCTCTCTTGAGGAGCCCACATCCATACATGGGTAGTATCTCAGACTTATTATTGCTGTGATGAAACACCATGACTAAAAACAACTTGGGGAGGACAGGGTTTTTTTGGATTACATATCCTGAATCACAGTTCATTGAGGGAAACAATGTCAGGAACCTGAGGGCAGAGGTACGAGGTATTGTTTACTGGCTTGCTCTTTATGGCTTACTCAGCCTGCTTTCCAAGAACCACAAGGTCAGATACAGCCCCACCCACAGTGGGCTGGGCCCTCTCATACCAATTACTAATTAGGAAATGTCCTATAGGCTTGTTCCTCGGTCATTTATTTCTTTACTTACTTTGTGCTTGTCATGCATCCTTTGTGGAGGCTCTAGGGCTGCTGCTCTCACACAAGTGATCCTCAACATGTATCTGAAGCAAGTTAGACTAGTACACATTCCATGCCCCAACAATACACTCTACCTTCAGTCATTCAGAATCCCTGTCCCTTTGTAAGCAGTTAGCTATTGGATTAAGCACGTTATCAAGACTTCACTGTTTGTAGGGCATGGGGAAGCAGAGGTATGTGGATTTGGGGAAGTTCCGGGCCAGGCTGCATAGATAACAGAGTTCAAAGTCAGCCTGGGCAACATAGCAAGACACTGGCTTCAAAAATCAAAAGACAGGGTCTAGAGATAAGTCCTTGATGCTCTTGAGAAGGCGGACTTTAGTTTCCAGGACCCCACATCATGCAGCTTACAACCACATAGAGCTCCAGGTCCAGGGGATCTGACATCCTCGTGTGACCTCTCCCATGGTGCACAGCCATACATTTAGTCATTCACACACATAAAAAAATAAAAGTAAACCTTTTCAAACTTCACACTATTTGTATCTCAACACACTTAACTCTACTCCCACTTTCATAGGTTTCCCCTCAGAACATCCTTCCTTTCACCTGCACCCTTCTCTTGGTCTGTTTTGTTGTAATCTCCCAAATCTTAACAGTTCTATAGTTTTTCTAAAGCCCAAAGTTTCTTCTGAAACTAAGGCAGTCTCTGTGAGCCCCTGAAAAACAAAATGGTTTAAGTTACAACCACTGTAGGTGATAGAGCACTTGACCAGTATGGTAGATCCAACTCCTGGTAGTGGAAAAGAACAAGTTATAAATTACAATATACAGTAGCTCAAAGTGAGTGTTCCCATCCCAAAGGGGGGGAACGGGGACATAGCAAGGAAAAAAAAACCAACCAAATCAAGACAGAAACCCAGCAGGGCAAACACGGAATCCTGTACCTGCATATTCAGCATCTGGGGACTCTTACTGACGTCATCCAGACTCCAACATCCGGGGTAGCCCTAACCCTCTAGTTCTGCAACCTAAAGCACACACAGTTTCTCTCTTGGGCCAGCCCCACTCATTGCCTATAGCTTTCTTTGGTGGGCATCCTACAGTCTTGGTATTTTCGACATGAAGGGGTCTCTTCTGCAACTTAGTCTCACCTTCATAGCTCCCCTCACTAGCCTCTACAGTATGTTATACCAGTAAGTCGTCATGTGCTTTAGCTTGTTAAAATGGACGTAGAGAGCAAGGAGGTCCTCCTGTCTCCTTGTTGTCACTGTAGAGAAGCATGTTTCTTTCCAGTGTCCTCCAAAGCTCCATGACCTAGGTCAGACTGGACCCCTAATTCTGTGACAGGGAGAATGGGAAAGAACCAGCTGATGGTGGCACATACCTTTAATCCAAGCACTTGAGAGACAGAGGCAAGCAGATCTCTGAGTTCCAGTCCATCCTAGTCTCCAGAGCAAGTTTCAGGACAACCAAGGCTACACAAAGAAACCCTGTCTCAAAAACAAAACAAAACAAAACAAAAAAACCTTATGGCCTTGAGGGCAGCTAGAAAGTGAACCATGTCCAACAGAGTTTACATGCCCACCTTAGAAACCAGAAATCAGAAGGTCATCAATGGAGTGAAAACTATGAATTAGAAACTCCAGCTATGCCTCAACAGCGTTCCCCCAGTCTGTCTTCTGGCTCCTGTAAGTCCTGGCTTAATGATCCCTCACCACCACCAGCCATCTCTGTGGGGTATTGTTTTATTGAGTTTTTGTTTTGGTTTGGTTTGGTTTGGTTTGGTTTTTTGGTTTTGTTGTTGTTGTTGTTGTTGTTGTTGTTGTTTTGGGGGTTTTTTTTGTTTTTTTTTTGTTTGTTTGTTTTTTGTTTTTCGAGACAGGGTTTCTCTGTATAGCTCTGGCTGTAAACCAGGCTGGCCTCAAACTCAGAAATCCACCTGCCTCTGCCTCTGCCTCCCAAGTGCTGGGATTAAAGGTGTGTGCCACCACTGCCCGGCCTCTGTGGGGTATTGTGAGTGCCCAATTTAATTATGGTTCACTGTCTGTCTGCTGCTTCTCTGTATCCACTACTTGGTATTTATTCTTTTATGTATTTTGCTATATACTTAATAAATGCACTCCTTTGAAACCAAAAGTACAGCTATCATAGATCATTCTCCAGAATATACAGAAGAGTCTTTTGGGACTCCTTGCATGGAATCTAACCAGGCTGTATATTGTCTGATGTTAATGGCTTCAGGGCAAATCTCCATGACACCATAACTTGTTTTTCATGCCCAGAAACCCACATAAATAATAATAGGCTCTCTCGTCTGCATGAGACATAGTCTGGTCCTTTTGTACTGTAGTGGCCCCTGTGCCTTAGTAGCTGAACGTCTCTAGGTAGTTGCTTTCAAGCAGAGAACACCCTCTGTGGTATCCTTGGCTCACTCCTTTTAAATGAACTTGCGTTTTTACAATATGACGCTTTCCATGGATGATGTCCCGCTCTCAGAGGACCACTCCTGTTGCCCCAGTACAGAGCATAAGCTCTTTCTGTAACGGTGCTGATCTTGATAACTGTGGTTGGGCTCCCCAACCTGCCTTGTCTGCTATTTTAATCTCACACTCCCTTCCTTTTTTTCATATATTTCTACTTAGGGGTTACTATAGATCTAACAAAGAGCAGTTACCTTGTGTGATGGTTTGTATATGCTTGGCCCAGGGAGCGGCACTACTAAGAAATGTAGCCTTGTTGGAATAGGTGCGTCACTGTGGGCATAGGCTTTAAGACTCTCATCCTAGCTGCCTGGAGGTCAGTATTCTGCTAGCAGCCTTCAGTGAAGATGTAGAACTCTGAGGTCCTCCTGCACCATGCCTGCCTAGATGCTGCCATGTCCCTACCTTGATGATAAGGGACTGAACCTCTGAACCTGTAAGCCAGCCACAATTAAATGTTGTT